GTGGCATTGATAACACCCAGGACATCCATCCCTGGCAAGCTGGCACCCCCTCCTGATGTTACTGGATTGCCATCCCTGGGGTATGAGGAGGGGATGAGGTATGTCAATGAAACAAATATGGGGACCTTTGTAACACAATTCTGATGGTCTTGTAATGTCATACCCATGGGGTAGACATGATTCAGATAGCTAGATCAATCTCTGAAATTGTTTTGATGGAGTGAACATGGGGAGGGCAGGGTAACATATCTTACATGGATATTCTGACACCTAGAAATGCTGCAACCATTGTCATCATCCATTGTGACTTTCAGGCCCTCCAGGACAACCATTCCTGACAAGCTTTCATGCTTGCTAAACTTTACAGGATTAGCACCCCCAGGATAAGAGGAGGGGAATGACACATAGGGTCCTTTCTGGTGTGATCCAAATGGTCCTGCCATGTCATTCAAGTGGCACAGACATGGTATGGACAGCTGGATTGATCTGGAATTGTTTTGATGGACCCTGTCCACATTGACTGGGACACCCTGTGACTTGTTTAGAGTGCACTAACTATCTTTCTCTGACTCTCCTATGTCTATTGCATGTCTGGTAATACAACTAAAATACATCTTAAAACATACCAATGTTCCTGTCTGACCACTCCTCCTCAGAGCATGCTGGATCACTTGTAGTGGTGTTCGTCCCCCCTTGGACCACCTCAATTGACCTAATTTGGACATCCACAGGTCCTTACAGCAGGACGAACCCCATTGAACACCAATGAACACCAACAAACATGAACAAACACCAATGAACATTGATCCAGAACCAAGGCCCCTGTCCACATTGACTGTGACACCCTATGACTTGTTTCGAGTGCACTAACCATCTTTCCCTGACTCTCCTATGTCTATTGCATGTCTGGTAATACAACTACAATCCATCTTATAACATACCAATGTTCCCATCTGACCACTCCTCCTCAGAGCATGCTGGACCCCTTGAAGTGCATCAACTGAGTGCACAGAGTGCATCAACTGAGTGCACAGAGTGCATCAACTGAGTGCACAGAGTGCATTGACCAAGCGCACAGAGTGCACCACAAGTTGGCACCACATCATTGATACATGGGGAACTGGATGAACAGAATTCATCACTGTCTCCCTCTGTACCCATACCCTTGCCTTCCCCCTTGCCATCCCTCTGCTTCCCTCTATGAGGTGGCCTTGCCTCTTCTTGCTGGAGGCTTTCGAGCATTCTTTGCCTTTGATGACTTCTTAGTCTGTGCCTCTTTCAGCCTCTGCCTTTCTAAGATGAGGGCCTTGCTAGCCAGCAGTTCGTCATATCCTGCATGCTCCAGGAGCTCCATCTGCAGTGCATTCCTGGGCTTTACCACTTGAGATGCTTGTCTCCTGGCCTGTTGCTGTTCCTTCTCAGTGGAGATACCCTTGATCTTGTAGAACTTGGGATTTGTCACCAGAACCACCTTCTCACCCTCCACCCACCATGTCTTCCCAGGACTCTTTTCACTCCCTTTGGTCGCATCAGGTAATGTCTGAAGGACAGAAAATATCCTGCCAAGGTGGTCCAGCACCTCAAACTCCTCCAGGGGTGTCCTGTTCTTCATCACCTGGTGATACTCCCAAATATAGCCAGGCTTCGTCCAGAAGACATTCCATGGTGACCTCCGTGAAGGTTGTCCTGCTGTGGGTCCCAGGAAAAACAGGTTGACCCTCTCTGCAAAGCTTGACTGTTGGCGACCAGCCCCTCCACTCCCTGCAATTTCTGCATTGCAGGCCTTGAATTCGCAGGCATGTATTGTCCTGAAGGTCTGGTTCAGAGTCCAACTCTGAATGGCTTCTTCCAAAGATGTTGGCTCTGGTTTTCCCTCTGAGCCTGTCAGCCAAGTCGCATCCAACTGGATCCAAAGCTGACAGGTAAACAGAACGAAAAGTTTCCCTACCACTGGCCCCAGACCAGACAGTTGGGCCGACCACTTCCAGTCCTGCATGATCAACCAAGGCTGCAGTTGGATGGTCCTTGTCAATTTGGCCCACGTCAGTCTGCTGCCAATGGGAAATTGTTCCACTTTGTCCAGAGGGGGAATCCTTGGCCAGGCAGGTCGTCCATCACCCCTCTTCAACTTTCCCTCCATCAGCTTGAGCACCTCCAGGTCATCATGATCCTGAACTTCTGGAAGATGGGGGACATGATGCAAGTCCAGGTCCAAAAGGAAGAACATTCCCAACCACTCACACACCCTGGAGACCTGCAGAAGGGCCATGGACTCTCTCACATGGAAGTCAAGGATTATTGCAGTGGTGGACGTGCACCGAATCATGTGGCAGATGATGCCAGTCAGAATCCCAAGGTTGGGTGGTTCCAGTTCCTTGAGAGAGATCTGAGCCAACTGGAGGGCCCTGATGCGTCTAGCCATAAATTCCAACCAGACTTTGGTCGGGATCCAGAGAATGGGATTGGAGGCTAAAAGCTCTTCCATCTGCAAAGATGGAAGCATCAGATATGAGCATGATGGAGCTTGGAAATGCATCACCCTTTGTGGCACCACCAGTATTGCCTGCTCCACTGCAGCCCCACTCATCCTGTACTCGTCTCACACCCCATATGACCTCTTCTTTGCATCTCCAGAATACATGTTGATGGCCTGCATGCATTCCCCAATGAAGTCATTGTTCAGGGCATAAGCATCCTTGTCCATGACAAAGGTGGGGCTGTTGTCGTTGGGTCAGATCACCTCATAGGCCAGATTATATGCACTTCTGAATGCAATGTGAGTTTGCCTTGCTCGCTCCTGTGACATCTCTGCTTGGATCCCCCCATACCATCCAAGCATGCAAGTGTGGTGGGCATTTCCTCGCAAATATCCACCTGCCCCAAAGGAAGCTTCCAGGGCATCCAGTCTCCACAATCCAACGAGCTTTTCATCACATGTGGGGTGAATGCTGATTCCCAAGTCAACCAAGAGCTCCCCATTGGCCCTGTCTACCATGTGGGACCAATCCAGAGCTGGAAGTCCATGGAGGAGAGCTTGGACTGGCATTTGAATGGCTCCTGACAGGGTGGTTTTCGTCCACAACTTGATTCCCTTGCATTCCAGGACAAAGAAGAAGGAACCATAGTTTGCAAATCATGAAGGGTCCTCTCGGATGATTGCCTCCATGGTCTTCTGGATCTGCTTCAACACTTGCATAGAAAAGGGGACCGCTTTTGGCCGACCAGCCTTCTTGGTTTTGCCACCCTTTCATGCCTTGAACTGCACTTCCTTCAGAGTGAGAGAGACATATGGTGCACTCGAAACATCTGCATGTGCATGGATTGCTGGAAGTAGGACATGCTCCCAGAAAAAGTCAAGGACCTCCTTTGGGATGCGATTGGCACGCTTGTGTGTCATCTCGTCCCTGTGGATCATCCTGGGGAAGCAAATGTAGACATTCATGGTGCCAGCAGCGTTGCTCAAGGCACCAAACACTGTGTGAGGTACTCCACACAGAGGAAATGCCATGGTCAACCATTCGGTATGGCTTCCGATGGCACTGGAATCTGCCTCTGACTGAGGCACGAGGATGTCAACATACACATGATTGTGCTTGTGCATAGGAGCCTTTTCCTCGATGATGGGACCAAGGTAGATGGGCAGCGGTGTGTTGAACTGTAGGGAATGCATCACCCATATGAGACTGTCAATGTCCACAGTGACTTCCAACTCCTCTGGAGTCACCAACTTGTGATCCAGCTCCAGGTCCAGGCAGATGTGACACCCATCCTCATGCCGCCCATTCACAAAGGTGTTCATGAGATGTTCTGACATGCTTGAGCCAATCTCGATCATCTGAGAGGCACCCAGTATGACCACATCATCCACATTGACTCTTGATGGATGGGGCACCTGCTGGGCAAGAGAGTAATTTCCTGGAACAAAGCAATCAGAAGAGGGCACCAGGGCAGGATATGAGTGCTCACCAGTAACATGGTCGCCGATTTGATGAGAAGACTGGTAGTTAGCTGGAACACCCACTTGGAGGATATGGTCTGACAATCTGATGGGGGGACCCAAGTAGAACATCTGGTTGAAGGAACTCAGCAGATGATAGCCATAATCTCGAAAGGATGTCCACATCCCAGGCCGATAGTAGGGCTCCTCCACAATCTCGTTGCAGTTGTGGTCCTGGTGCAAACTTTCCAAGACAGGTCCTCCTTCATACTCATCAAACCTGCGATTGAAAGGTTTCCATCGTTGACCTTGGTATGCAGGGAGGTATACCGGCGGAGTTGGACATGGGAAACGGTACATCATTCCAGCTGACCAGTCCTTGACATGCTTGTGTCGCTGGATGATCTCAAGGGGATCATCTGGAGTGGATTCCCCTTCAACTTGATGACCATGGGCAGCCCGAGGAGGAAGTCGATCCCTGGCTCTGGCCCTGCTCACATAAGGGTAGCGCCAAAGGAGATCCCTGAGACGCTGAGACTTGGCATCCAGAGGCAAACGATGGTCTTCACCTTCATCTTCAGTGTCAGTCAGAAAGTCACCATCAGAGTGCACATCAGGGTTCACTACATCGCTGGAGTCATCCCCCCTTTGGCAGCGAAGGCAGTTGGCCCCAATGACATTCAACTCATGGACGATGGTAGCATGTTGCTCTCCAGATGATTGGTTTTCCACATCCATGAGGATGTCTTCACTGATGGCTTTGGTGTCGTCCCACTGTGTCCATATGTGACTAGGGGGAAGGGTGGTTGTAGACAAGTAACAATAGTCCTCCCAGCACCTTCGACAGCCCTCCTTCACCATGACAAGCATTTGAAGGCAGAGACGATGACCACAAGGAATTGGAGGGATGTGGATGGTAGGCCTGCCATCACCAGATAGCCCCCCTCTCATGAGTGACTCCATGACAAAGGATGCAATGGGGCCACAGTCGAAACTGTTCTGTGACCAATTGTACACCTGCACATCAACTTGGGTTGGGTTGATGGCATCGAATCCATGAAGCGATGCTATGCATGTCCAGTAGAAAGGGCCATTCCATGTGTTCCAGTCATCACGCAGTGGGTCATAGTGGGGATGAGGGGTTTCTGGGACATGTTTGATGTGCCTTCCAAGGATGAATGCAAGGTTCAACCAATAGTCAAAGACTGCAACAAAGAAGTGACTGTTTTGCATGACCACAAAGGCGATGGGAATGGATGGATTGGCAGGATGGGAATCGAAGAGATGGCGTTGACAAAAAAGTTGAATCTCCTGTGCATCGAGAAAATATGTTGGCAACAATGAGCTGGTTCTATCGGACCACAATGACATCATCGAACCAGAGGCCATCGTGTGTAAGTCATCCCTGAATTTTGTATACAGCTTGGAAGCTCATGGAGAGCATAGTGCCAGCAGACATCACATCTTTCAGTGCAGAAAGGTGTTTTGGTCCTCTGATAGGACCCAAGGATATGTATACACGGTGGACCATGAGCACACATGGTAAACAAGTCATCCAGGTATTGATAAATGGCATGACACCAATTTTTGAAAAACTCCTGACATAAACTACACCCCATCAGGGCCCCTTCCATGCTTGCTCTGTCTGTGAAAAACCATATAACCCAGACAAAGCTGAACAATGGTATTGTTGAACCTGCAAAAATTGGTTCCACTGCAGTTGTTTACAGAAACTCGCAAAGGGAAGCACCAGACCCCTGGACATCACAAAGGAAGTCCTAAATGGGACAGGTCTCTCACTGCAGGATATTCAGGTGCATGTCCTGTGCATTCCGATATGCAGGGGAAATGAGGGTGGTGTGGTGGGCAATGGTGAGGTTATGATGAGTATGTGGGAGGAGGTCAGAGCAGCACAGAATGGGCAGAGACAGGAGGTTGAAACTGGTCTACAAAATCATATGACCAGTGACCTGATCCAACAGGCACAGAAGTCATATGTGTATTATCGATGCTCCTTCTGTTTTGCAGAAGGCAGAGAGTGTTACATATGATGTAGGCTCTTTCTTGGCTGTAGAACCCTGACCCAAACAAATACCAGCCATTGAACAGAAAGAAAGGAATTGGAAGAGGCCAGGGTGATGATCAGGAGGCTAAATACTGCATTGGTAGTGTCAGATGCTGTGGTAGAACTGAATAAAGAGCAGCGGTGGGATCATGCACCAGTATGTGATATTTCAAAGACTCTTCAGACTGTCAGCACCATAGCACCTGCCCCCTCTACATGGATTATGACACTGAAAACACATGTAGGCATAATAGGCAGAATGCATCATGGAAAAAAGCAGCAAACTGGATCCAAGTGACTTGGATGGCCATAATTACATCGGTAAATGTGGGTGGGACATGCTGAACAACAAGGAACATGGTCTAGCAACATATAGAAAGGGGCAGGTGGTCATACTCAGATTTCTCATATACCATCAGAGAAAGCATTTGTCAGGTTGCTACATCGTGGATAGCCTTTCTGACACTGGTAAAGTTGGTTAAGACATGGTGGAAAATAGCAAACATCACCTAGCAAAATATAGACTGGGGGAGGTCAGGTGGTCATGGACAAACTTATCATATACCGTCAGAGTCAGTGTTCGTCGGATTTCTACCACTGTGGATGGTCTTACTGACATTGGTAAAGGTGGTCAAGACATGACAAACAATGGCTACCATCGCCTAGCAAAATATAGACAGGGGGAGGTCAGGTCGATATACCAAAACCTATCATATACCACTAAATACTGTGTTCTCCGGGCTTTCCCCACATCGAAATCACCTCATAACATTGGTAAGTGAGGTTAAGATGTGTGGAACGACGAAGAACAAATATATGGAGAGGAGGAAGTCGGGTGGTCATACTGAAACTTATCATATACCACAAGAACCTGTGTTCGCCATGCTTCCACCACCTTAGGCAGTCTTACTAACATCGGCAAAGGTTGTGGTGACATGCTGAACAATGATGAACATGGTCTAGCGAAATGTGGACTGGGGGAATTCGGGTGGCCATACTGAAAGGTGTTTGCAAGGCTTCTACCATCTTACTCTGTCTGAATGATGTCGTGGTAAACCCATGGTACAGCAAAGTATCTACAGCAGGAAGTTGGGTGGTCATGCTGAAACCTATCAGTGTTCCATAGCCTTCAACACTTTGGATAGTCTGCCCTGACCACTTTACAGGGGGAATCGATGGTAATGGTGCTAAACAGGTATACTACTGTATTTGGCATGAGGGCTGACCCGCCCACCTTGTGATCAGTTTTATAAACTGGTCCATTACAGTAGTCTCTATCAGGACATGGAGTCTTCATGCCTTGGACATGGTCAGTCTCACTGTATGTATATGGTGCACGACATGCACTATTCGCCTTACATTCCACTTACATAAGCGATCGATGATGGAGGAACATTTACAAGATAGATTATGTAATTGATCTTGACTACTACCATGGCTACCCAGTACTACCCGTCTTCCCTCGGATTCATCCACAATCTCAAAGCCTTGTCGAAAAAGGATCGACATGTTAGGTTGGCTCCAAGAGGCTCTGAAGGGTCCATCTGGCCATGCCAGGTCACCCATGCTGACAATAAAGTCGTGGTGGAGCTCCCCAATCACTACTACGAGCCTATTCAGGCTTTCACCTGGAGAGAAAAGGCGATCCGGCTGGTGCTTCACTTCAAGAAGAAGGAGGAGGTGGAGGTGGAAGAGCCGCTGGTGGAGAATCTGACCATGATCCTCGCATATATGAACAGGGTTTTCGTTCAAGTAGTTGCGGAGGCGAAGAAAGTCAAACGCAGAGATCGCACACTCGATTGGCGAAGTCCGACATTCGACAACTACTTATTGATAGAATATTTCGTGCGGCGCCATGAACCGGCCCAGGTGAGGAATTACAGACGCAACAACGACCACAACATCAACCGCGCCAGCATTGCAGAGGTTGGTAAGTGTTTCGATTTCCTTGCAACCTTTTGCTGCCATTCACATACTTATACCACAGACTGGGTTCACCATGAGCGCGCCCTGGGTGAGATGTGGTATGGGAGCCGGACTCAGTTCGAAATGGATGAGAAAATGAAGACTGTGGATGTGGCAAGGAAACTGATCGACGTGATGGTGGACTTCTATGATCCAGTGGAGGATGAGGACCCTGACTGTAAGCACAGGGATACTTTCTTTCCCCATCTACTGAATTCTAACTTGAAACAGTCGGATACACGTACAAAGAACATCTACAAGGCAGCGCTGCAGATAAAGGCAAGGGAAAGGCAGGGAGAGGGAGAGGGAGATGATAGCATTGGAGGAGGTCATCGCTGGTGGTGGGGTGCGTAGCAAGGGCAGGGGACGTGATAAGGGCAAGAGACGAGCGGGAGGGACTGTGAATCAGCGCAGAGCCTCTCAGAGGCTGAAAGATAAGCATAAGGAAACGTCCCCCATGCCATCGCCCTCTGGATCTGACCGCTCTTCGATGGATGTCTAAGGCATCGAAGATATCATTTGTACATATATATATTAATGTACTTGGTAGACATCTCCATCGATTGTCCATCAGACACAGAAGTGGGATCATAGGCAAGAAGTGCTGGGATTTCTCCCTGAGATTTTCCTGGAACTGGTGGTCTCCATTCATTAGACTAGAGATTTACAAATGTTTCCATTCCCATTCAGCAAAGCTACTTGACCAACGAAAAAATCATGTCGAGTCCCATCACACTACAATGAATACACTAGATCAGATGCTGGCGCAACCTGAAGTTTGGCAGTCATGGGGTCTGTCATGCAATCGACAAGGAGGTGGGATTTATGGTGTTTCACATTCCACTGGCACTTGCAATGACTCCAGAAGCTACTATCACTATCACTATGCAGCTCTTGCCATTGAAATGGGCTGCGCATGAGAGGAGAAGATGAGGTTAATCCACCACATGTCATCGATCGGTCTTCGGTTGACAGAAATATACGATACACGTGCTACCGATCAAAGGCCTCATTAACATGGGACCGATTTAGGCGATATGCTGTGTTGCTACAAATTTCATCTTCATCCTTATCATTCAGCCTGATTCGAGATCGATCTCAACGACATGTCGGACTACTACTGGCAGCAATCACTCCCAACGCCACTGCAGATCGATTACATCAAGCAGATCATATACAAGTTGGAATATGTAGATCCCGAGCAGACCATGGTGAAGGTCACGTCTACGAATCTCTACCTGAAGATCACTGAGGACCGTGTATTGCTCCCCGGGCACTATTTCGAGTTCATACAATTGTTTTTCTGGAGGTATTACCTCCTGATGCGATTACATCTGCATTTCCAAAAGGCTCAGAGCAAACTGTATGCGAATTTCCGCCCCACCCTCCTCAGAAACATCGTCCATCTGGACAACATCATCGAAGCCCTCATCCGCCCAAGCATCGGTATGAAAGAAGAAGATATTCCAACACATCGCTGTCCCAGCTTCGAGGAATTCCTGGTGACGGAATACCTCATCGGCCGGCATGATCCCGAGTCGGTAAACAATTTCAGGGCACATTGCCCGACCAATCTTGAGAGATTGGTAGAACCCATTGGTGAGTCATCATACAGGTTTCCTTTATCATCCAAGTGTCTGATACGGTCATCAGAAATGGACTGGGATCGTTATGCTGATCGGTTGCCAGAATGTTTCTTTGGGGGGGAATACCATTGGGAGGTAGATTCGGTTCCTGATGAAGACCTTCCGAAGATGTGGGAAGAAGTGGTCGAATGGTATTCACAAGAACTGGACCCACATTGGAGTGAGTGACGTTTCCAATCCAATAACATTTATTCTGACATTACATCGATTACATCAATAGTATCTCAGTGGGTGGTATGGGATGAGGGGCCTGGTTTCAATGATGAAGAAAAGGGTACAGATGATGGGGGATCAGGATGGGGACATAGATCAACAGAACATGAGCGATGTGGACCAGGACATGGAGCATGGGGATGATACGAATGCTGAGATCGGTGGGAGAGAGGATCATGGAGGGGAAGGGGGCAATGGGGGGAGTGGACGCGATGAGAATGAAGAAGAGGGCAGCGAGGGCAGCACCGATATGGGGAAAAATGATGGAGGTGGGGAACAGGACTCCGACGTCCCCCCTCCTGCAAACCAGGCAAGTGCATTTCATCTCAACAGGCGTCACTGAACCTCACAATCCGATGTCAGCTGGCTGTGACACGGAAGCGGCAGTTGTCAGAGGGCAGCGACGAAGAAGAGGGTGGCCAACGGAAAAGACCATCTCCAAACCCTCCTGCTGCACGTCCCGACAGGGAAGGCGACCAGCCTATAGGGTTTAGTCAGCACTTGCTATGGATGATTGGTCGACCTCCCCCCCGTAAGTAATTAATATCGATTGCTTTGTACTCTCCTGTGGAAACGCATATGAATATACTGTTTTCATCACGATAGCCCATTGGTCTCCGCCGCTAGATTCAGACATGATTGAATCACCAGTCGACTTCCCATTGGAATCGTATTCTCAAGGTGCTAGCATTGTAAATGAGGGCCTAGATCCCACACCATTTCCAGTGGCTGCGGGGGATGATGAAATGGCTACCCATGGTGACATTCCGCCTGTAGCAGATGATCCACCTGCGAACCAGCGATCTGGGAGGGAGCGTGGAGGGAGGCAGAAAGGAAAGGGGGTGGTGACGACAAAGGAATTCATTACCACACAGCTCCTGCAAAGCCAGAAATCCTCAGGCACCCCTCAATTGGAGCTTGCTTATGATTTTGATATGATCAACGTGACAGTCAGTCCAAGGAAGCGCACCATCGCCAGAACACTGCCTGAAGGAATGCAGGAGGTTTCTCCGATGCCTGGTCCATCTAAGATTAACCAACCACTCACGTCAACCAATACACAAACTCAAATGACACTCGATAGCGAGGAGGTAGTTGCAACCCATCCACAGGCTAAATCAGGTGCTGTAATCCTTCTCACTGGGGAGTCCAGATGGCATTGAAGATGGAAAATCCATGTGTCTCCATCTCCAAGGTCAAAGGCCATTCATTGAATTGCTGTTGGGGTAGATGGCAAACACCCAAAATTTACTTTGCTCAAGGCTCTTAGGGCCTGAACAGTAGCGAAATTTCTGCTTCCTTATGCAAAACATATACAAACCAAGTCTGTGCAGAGTTCAGCAGACTTCCAAGTTGATACCCAGCTGTGGGCACATGGCAATCAACCACTCATACACTATGCTGTTGACTATTGCTATGGTTGAGAATTGCCTCATTACCATGGAGGAGGAAGAGGAAGAGGATGACAAAGATTCCAGGTCTGATCTCATTCAGAGGGTGCTAGTCATGCAGCAGGTTCAGAACTATGCAACAGTTGCTGCTGTACTTGGTATATACCAGGCCACAATCGCAACCCTTCGAAGTGCTACCCCAGAACCTTACCACACATCTTCTCTTTTGGGACAGGGATGGGTAGATGAACTGCTTAATGGGCACCCCCCACTGATCAGAACTGAACTTGGCATTCACAAACATATCTTCCTCAGGCTCATATCTATCCTTCGAGAAGGGCAGCTTCAATATTCAAGAAACACCATGCTAGAAGAGCAACTGGCAATTTTCCTGTATGCAATGGTTATGGGCTTATCAGCCCAGCATATCGGTGAGTGATTCCAACATTCGATGGACACTATATCATGGTGAGTGTGCAGTCACCTGAATGCATGGAATTTCTGCTAATCATATATTTTACCCAGGTATTTCAAACAAATGCTCCATGCATTCAGTGAGGGTCCAATTTATACCACATATGTCCACCTTCCCAGAGCCAATTCACTGATCCCCAGTTGTATTGCCACCAATACAAAATTCTATCCTTACTTCAAGGATGCCATAGGTGCTCCTGATGGCACACATATCACATGTGTGCCATCAAAAAGTGAACAGGATCTGATGCACAATTGCAAAGGTTTCTTATCTCAAAATTGTCTCATCACATGCTCGTTCAATGGTATTATTACATATGTTCTTGGAGGCTGGGAAGGATCAAGGCCACTGATGCTACTGTCTACCATAATGTGCACTTGCAGGACTTTGCAATTCCTGATGGTTGCTATTATCTTGCTGATGCAGGATATCCATTGACTCCACAATTACTTGTACCATACCATGGCCAATGTTATCATTTGGCTGAGTGGGGTTGAGCTAACTTACAGTAAGTACTATCATATCCTTATGTATGTTTGATTCTCATTCACTCCATACAGGCCAAAGGATAGCAAAGAACTCTTCAACCTTTGCCATGCCATGCTTTGAAACAACATCAAGCATAACTTCAGAATCATAAGGTGGTGTTTTCACACCCTCATTCTTCCACCCAAGTATGATATGGTGATCCAATCACAGTTGCCTGTGGCTGCATGCTGCCTTCACAATATTATCTGCCTCCATGATCCTGACAATGTCAACATGCTGGATCCCGATGCAGTCAATGAAGAAGAAGGGCCACTCCTAGCACCCAAAGAAACTGATGTTGGAGACTTGCAAGATATTCCATGGAATGCTGTCACACACCAAAGGTGTTTGGTGAGGTGGACATGGATACAGCTGATGAATGGAGATGAAGGCCATAGCCCTCATGCAAAGAAGGACAGCCAGAAATGTTGGCAGTCATCCCTCACACAAGAACAAGTCATCAGTGCCAGAGAAAAAGAAAGGGAGCAAGTTAAGTGCTGGCTAAAGTTCTTAAGCACCCATGTACAGCATTCCAGTTTTCAACATATCTCTGCCATTTCTGCAGATACCAAGACCATTCCCACACTCACTTGTAGTGCTCAGCCACACAATCTTACCTTCCAAGATTGGAAAGGATTTGTGCACTCCACACATTTCTACAGCACTCCCTCCAAAAGATGCTCATTTCACTAACTTCTTCTGATATGGCCACCTCTACATCAATCATTTCACTTGTCCCCTTTGCTAGGGACCATGGCTACATATATCTACCAGGAGTTCCTACCAGCTTCTGTCCTGAAGCATCCTGGTACATCCCACCCTCATCTGTGCCCTCTCAGCCCATCCAGCTTGGACAGCATGTTCTTTTTGTCAGTATGACCTCTGGGAGGACATTCTTTGGTCACCTCAGGTCTGTCATTTGCTTGGAAAGGTCTTATGTGGTCATTTCAGTCTCTCCAGTCCAAGAAGCATATGGATCCTTCCTCCCTGCCCCCTGCAATGTCTTCATACCAGTCTCATCCATCATTCATCCAAGATTGCAACAGCTACAGTATAATCTA